CGTGCCACTATGCGCCACTCCAGACCGTACATGCCGACATCTTGAGAACAACTGAGAACCGAAGCTGCCAATCAGGTCAAAGAGCAATAAGCTGCTGCGGGCATCGACGACCAAGATCTTCCAAGATCCAGAATATGCGTCCGGGTCCTGGGGCAGTGTCAGGGCTGTGCTAGTCAGTCCAAGTATATGAAGCATGCTGACCAGTAGCATCTGCTTAGCTGTGTCTACTTCAGGGGTCTTTTGTTCTTTGGCATGGGCAGGATTGAAGGCTCTTAGAAAATTTAGGTTATGCAGATTGGTTTGCTTTGCGGGGCACAACAGGCGTAGAATCGTGTACTCAACATCCATGTTCGCAGTATGGGCCTGCTAAAACAAAGTTTGTTGTTGCAGTGGACAGAGCTTTCATTTTGCCTGGGGCGGGTTTTCCTTTAAGCTGGCACAGTAGTCGAGCATAGGAAACCCCTCAAGCCGCCTATCTGTCGATTCCCTGAACCTGACAAGCCAAATGCGCTGGACGTGTCGAAAGATTCAACCGACTCCCAAGCGGCTTGCATCGAATCGTACCTGCAGGAGCTGGGGTCAGGGTGTGCTTTCATCACTGCGCGACGCTGCCCCAAAGGATGCTGCTTGACTACAGCAGCACGCTTTCACTTTAATCAGCATGGATGTACCACCCACCTTCTGCCTGCTCTCGCTAAACAGAATCACGCAACGGCCCCAAACTACTCCGCAAGCCAATGTCACTTCTCCGTCTCTAGGGCCTTTACTTTGAATGTGTACCATGCGTACCTTGGATGTTCATTTGTTTAAAGGAGTTCAACTCTTGAGGTCTGATCTGTTTGGGAAAGACTTTCTTTAACACACGCTGGGGTTGCTTGTTTTCGTGTCTGAGGGGTACTTGCGCGACAGGGATTTTGTGCTCTCTCTTTTTTCAACGGAGCCTGGGCAGGGGCAAGCCCGGTGAAACTTCCTACCTTTCTAGACTCCACTTATGGCGGGCAATGTAAGGGTTGGGCTGGACCAATCCTACAACAGGCCTTCCGATGCCCAAACAGGCCTCAATAGGCTAAGAAGGGGATATAGCCCCTCACCCCCCCGATCAAGCAGGTCAAATAAAAACTTACCTTCAAGCGGAAATGGCGAACATGTGGTGCATCTAGTATGCCATGCCAGTCCTAGTTGATTCCATGATGGAGACCTGAAGGCTTGCTAAAGTTTCGCTTGATCTTTCGCCGCATGTCCGTAAGTTCTTGCGGCCATAGGTTTGGGGCCGTGGTTGGTGGGAGGCCTAGTTGGACGCCCGAGTTGCGACGGCGCGCCTGGAAAGCTCCCCAAAGCCCTGTGCCTCAACATGGTAACCCCACAGTCGAAGTTTAGAGTCCAGGGGTGGGGCTCCTGAACCCTAAAGAGTCTTAATCGCTGGAGCATGTCTTGCCAAGGCGATGGAGCGATTTAAGGCAAAGGTGCAAGTGCCTTGGCTTTGACAGGTTCCGCGACAGTTCGGCACGCCCGTCCTTAATTCAAGATGCTTTCGTTCCCCTGGCCTTCCCCAGGCGGTGGACGAGCAGCTCAAAGTTCTGGAGGTGGGCGAAAAAGGCTTATAACAATTAACAACTTCAATGGGTTCGTCCAACCTCAGAGCGCAGAACACAGATTTGGGGAGATGCCTATCAAAAAAATGCAAACTGGAATGATCAACTTGCAAGCAACAAATATAATCAGCAACAAATATATAATCAGCAAAGAAAAAAGCTGGATGTTGATTCTCTCCTTTGTAATCTGCCGCCAGCTTTGTTTTTTGTTTGTTGTTTGCTTTTCTGCTTCTCGCTATCATGAACTTGCTTTCGCTTCTGCGTCCCGCTTCTTTGTGCCGCTTTCTGTACGTACTTGCTTTTTGCTTTTAGCGTTTTTTTAGATTTTCGCTTCTTGCTTTCTGCTTTCTGCTTTCCACTTTTTGCTTTCGGCTTTCTTGCCTTCTTGCTTTCTGCTTCTTGCTTTTGCTTTCGACTTGTTGCTTTTTGCAATCTACTTTGCATGTTTCTTTGTGTCGCCGGTTCATTCTGTTTGTCTGCTGTTTTTTCTTCTTGCCTTAAACTTTTCCTTTGTTTTCTGCTTCTTGCTTCCTTTGGAGTCGCATAGTGTATATATATATATACACCGCAAAGTTCTTTATATTTTCCGTGCATATCATATCATATATACATATCTACATATATATATATATACATATTACATCTCCTTCATACAGGTTGTCGTTGTGGTTTTGGAGCTTCTTGTTGTGGTTGGCACTTGGCGCTTGGCGCTTGGTGCTTGGTGGTTCTTGAACGTTGTTGTTGTGATGGTTGTGGTTGTGGTTGTGTTTGCGCTTCACATTTGCGACCAAATCTCAACTGAGTATATATGCAGGACCAATTGGCAAGATTGCGCATGTCGAAACATGCGTGGTCCCCCTACCGAGACATGCCGTCTCCCATTGCGCGGAGCAGGATGCAGCGTCCACAACCTCAAGTCCATCTATGGATCAGGATGCCCCTCGTCTGTTGTTGGGCCTTGGCCCACCTTGGCCCTGAGCCTGCTGAGGGGCCCTGAGGGCTGCAAAGGGGCCTTCACTACTTCATTGAGTTCAAGAGATCCGGGTAGATATGGCAAGAAGATTCGCAGGCAACATGTGACAAACTCTATGTCGTATGCTTGGAACTCACGAACACATTGGAGATGCACAAAAGCGGAGAAAGTGGCAGTTTGCATCAGCCGTGCATCCGCTGCCTACTGTAGGACTTGGAAGACCTACCTCCACCGCCCGTCCTCAGGCGGAAGGCTTGCATGGGATTTCAGATCTTGTTTTTCTCAAGTAGCCTGATTGGGAGCGCGCGTGTTTCTGCAAAGTCAATACTAAAGGATGAAAAGTTGCGGTGTGCCGTTGCAGAACAGTGCATCAGATGTTGTAATTGTACCGTCTGTCCTGTAGTGATGCAGGCCTGTGCGACTTGCTGCCGGTTTATGTGGCATAGGTTTTTGCCATGCATGGGAAGACAGAGGAGAGCGTCTCCATGGTGCGGCGTTTCAGCAGACAAGTGTCGGACGATGAGCCTGAAATCGTGGCCGTGCGACTAGGCGGGCCGGGCTCAGCGTGCGGCATCGAGCATTTGCAACGGACAGGGGAAATCAGCTTAGGTTTGCCGAAGGGTTTCTATCCTGCTGAATTGCAGTTTGCCTGGCACTTGAGAGTCAATGCCTTCATCTCGAACAAGTGTGGCAAAGATTGCAGATAGAGAGCACGTTGCCGCTGGACCTGCGCCCGAGAGCACCAGTGCACTGAAAGCCTTGGTTCATTGAAGGCTCTCGGAAGGCGGTCACCGCCAGCGACTTCGACGTCCGCGCTCGTAGTACCTATGCGTGTGTTTAGAATTCCTGTGATTATCGAGCTTTGTTGGAGCCAGTTGGACAGGATATCAACTCGAGGTTGCAGCTGCACGTTGGTGATACTGTAGGTTTCGTCTGGAGGGCTGACAACCGGCATGGAGAATTGATTGGGGTTGGGGCGGTTGGGGGCCCTGGAGTAGGAGAGCAGCTATGGTCCAGTACTTCTGTGTCCAAGCCTTGAAATCCTCCACAGAGGCAGGTATGTGAGAGACAGCACGGGTGACCCAACGCATGGCCGTGAACAACGGGTCCAACTGCCACGCCGCGACGGACTCCTGAACCCGGAGGCTCCAAGCGCATGCTCGGTGCCGGCAGAAAGCACCACCCAGGCCTCACGTACTTTGCCCGCCTCCCCTGAGTAACGAAACTCCCGGTCCTGATCATCATTGATCATCCATCCATGAGCTTGCCCAAGCATCTGCGGGTGATCCAGTGTGGATGATGCTGTACGTTTTGAACATGATGTTCTGCGGCAGCTTTGTCAAGTTGACAAGCTCTGCTGAGGGGCCCTGAATCCAAGGCGAATCCTTCGATTCGGTTTCGCGCATCTCCTCCAAGCCGGGGGCGCCTTGGCACTGCCACATTTTGAGAGCTGCACCTGTGCAAGCGGTATGTATTCGCATGTTGAGGCCTCTCGTCTAGAGCAAAGCCCCCCCCCCCCCCCCCCAAACAGCACCCAAACTCTCGAAGCCCAAAAGATCTCAAAAGAAAGTGCGCTCTGCAAAAGCCTGAGGCCAACAACCCAAGCGTCGCCGGGCACCGCCCGTCGCTGACGAAAGAGCTGGACCCAGAGATCGGTTAAGCAGTTCACTACGCCAGCACGCACTGAAGCAAGTGAACAGACATACCTCCCCTTCCCGTGACCTGAAACACTCCTGGCCGAAACGGCCTAAACCCTCTCAAGTTCTGATGGCATCCTTTGGGTAGGATCAGCTCATGGAGAATTTGAAGAAGGATCCCACAGAGGCCTGGGACGCCTTATAGCCTTCTGGACATGTCTTGAGGCTGAGGGCTTCTAGGGTTTGGGGCTTCAGGCTTTTACGCAGCCATGCGGACTGATGTCAGCCTATTGAAGGGCTGTATCAAGGCCAACTGCCCCCAAGAGTGCATGAACAAGAAGAAACCCGAAGCGCTTATCCTTACATCTAAGGACTCTTGTGAGTGTGAGCGTCACTAGCGTCAGTTCCTGAAGTCGAAAGCGGCCCCGAGTCACAATTTTAACAGCTTAGAAGGCTTAGAAATTAGGGGGCTTCTGTGGGTGTGGTGGGGATGGCTTGGAGTAGTTTACAAACTCCCTCAAACATTCCCGAAGTTCTCGAAGCTCATTCTTGCGAAGCAGATCTTCAAAGCACAAGCGTAGAAGCGTGAGATTGCGCTGCAGAAACCACTCCACAAGCTCTCCCCGAGGAGGGCTTCACGCAGTCCGAAGTCTCGCGGCTCTACTCGAGCTTCCGGTGCCTTGCTTCAAGCTCTGGTTTTTGGGCCTGTTGCTCGCTGTGCGAAATCTCCTTTGTTTTTGGGGCATGTCGCTACAGTGGATTTGAAGCTCGTGCGCTTTCATGAGCTGCTTCTAGCCGATGTCACATTTTGACTCCAGCTGTGACTGCTGCTGCAACCGTGCCGGGGCAGCCAGGGTCTTCCTGCCACTTGTTGCTGACTCCCTTCCACTCCCAAAGGCAAAGTTCGAGGAGGGCTTAGCACCGCTGCCCGAAGGTCGCGTCATCATGCCTAAAGTGCCTAAAGTGCCTAAAGTGCTCATCCTTTCTCGACCCGAGGCGCTTCGTTATGCCTGGGAGCATCGATGTTCACAAAGATGCAGCTCGGTCTCACAGCGCTAGGCTAGTCTTATTCGTGTGGATGGGAGATTCTATTGTGCGACCTGGTATCAAGTTATGTCACATTGTACTGTGTTGTATTTATTGTACGGGTAGTGTCTTTGAACTAGTTAATCTAGTTATATGAAGCTGTATCTAGTTGTATCGTATTAGGTTGAATTGCATTTCCTTATCTATACACGTTTTTTTAAGTATATGATGCTACAGAACATTTTTCATTTTCAATAGTTGCAGTTCGGTAGTTGCAGTTCGGCTCCTGCGGCTTGCGAGCCGCAGGCTGTCAAGCTGCATTTCCACTGTGTCAGGACATCTTCGAGTTACTGACATTTTTGGGCTACATCTTCCTCAATCCGGTGGAGGTTCGTGCGCTGATGGTTGCTTGGTGCAAGTTAACACGCAGAGTACTGCCGTCTCTGCGGATCAAGCTTATTTGGCCGGGCGTGCCCGGGGCTGGACTTGGGTGGCAGGTTGTATACAGAAAGGGGCAACTGAACCTCGAGGAGCTACAACTAAAGTTCCTCATGTTAATATTAACTACCCCTGTTCGCCCGAAGCAACCGTGCGTCCACCAGTGGAAGAGTCGAAAGCAACTCAGCTGTACCCCACACCCAGGACAAGGCAACCAGGTATGACTACATGGGCTTTGACGACTTCGAAGGCTTCATGGCCGCTCGGCGCCCTCGTCCTTTCCCCTGCGAGAGACCCTGAGCCCCATGATGTCTCTTCGGCGGGGCCAGGAGATGTTTCACGGAAGTTACATGCAAGTCGCCAGACCCATTCCGGTTCCCAAGGGCCAGTACACGCAGTACTGCCAGCAGCAGCAACGTGGATGCAGGTCGCAGAGTGGACATCTAGCGGCAGAAGCCATCCATTCTGCTTATGTTTTCGGTGTGGTGGGGCATGGCATTGCAAGGGCATGCTGAGCGACAGATGGCGTGCTAAAGACGTATGTGTGATGACTGGCAAGGGTATACGGTATACGGTAGCAGTGTGACATCTGAGGTATTTGGTGTCTTGGTGCGAAATATGCAGGGTTGAGTCAGGGGCTGTTGTTTAGGCGAGAACACCTTACATTGGCTGACCTTGCACCTGCTAAGGTGATCTTCAATCGATTTGATGAAGATAGTTCTGGCACGATCTCGATCGAGGCCGGATAGAAGAAGCGCGGCAGGGGATCCTTAGGGGTTTTGGCATGTTTTGGGTTGAGCCGTTCCAGTTCAGCGGCGACCGCTTTCTGCGCTTTCAAGGGCTTCGTAGGCTTGGCTAGACTCCTATTCTAGAAGAGCTCCACAAGCCTCAACTCTCCTTGGCAGAATGTGGGCAGTGCCCTCTTTTTTCAAAAAGGAGCTGCGAGAGATGCTCCACTACCTCGGCTTCATGCCGAACCGGCGGATGATCGAGGACTCACTCAGCAGACCCGAGCTGGGCTGTAAGGGCAGCAGTCGAGTCCCTTTGTGAAAAAGATCCCATGGGATTTCGGCGCGTGGCGTATATAGGGGTCGCGAACCCCAAGAGGACAAGCTCTGCAGGGCGACGTCTAGTTTGTATTTCTGAAGCCCCCAAGCGTTAGATTCGTCGACAACACAGCGGTTTTCCAGAACGGGCATCAGATGCTGGCCTGCCTTGGTGAGAGTCGAAAATCATCAACAAGCTTGGGATGCGGATATGGGTTCCGCATCAGGTGCTGTTGGTGTCACCCGGATTGCAGGGCTCTAGCCCGGAACGCTGTGCGCTAACCGGAGCCTGAATCCAGTTGAAGGAAGCTCTCTCTGCCATCACCGCCGGTGGCAGGGATTGCCTGGATCCTTGGCTCGAAGTTCCTCCTTGCAGTGTAGGGCCGTCCAGGGTGCAAGGGCCGGCGGCATAGCCGACAGAGTTCGCGAAGTTTTTGGGCCCGGAACTTGAAGGCCCCAAGCTTGCCAAGGGAGTACGAGGCGGTATTAGGCGGTTCTGTGACTCAGGTGCGATCAGCATTGTGACAATGCCATGCACGAAGCCTTGTTCATTTTGTTTTGAATCCGAGGATTTCGATCAACTCGTGCTGTTTCTGCTAGTCTACCGCCGCAGAGAGGGCTTCGTCCGTGCCGAGGACGTCTTTTGCGCATTTTCTCCCCTAGCAATGTTCTGAGTGTTCAAGAATCACATGGCATGAGCTCGTTGCAACTTTGGTGGGGCCTCTCATTGTGTTAATGACATGTGAAATTGTGCTCTGCTTGCTTGATCTGCACTTGGGGTGCCTTGATCCTAACCTCGAGCTATCCACGTGGCCCTGCGAAGAGGTCGCAGAGCTGCAGCAGATTCATGCCGCTCAGCTGAACTGTCGCCTGCAAGCCCTTGTTGGCCCGAATGGGAAAGACACAGGAGTGTCAGATTGGAGATATCAGAGCTTGCGAGTGAGCTTAAGGCTTAAGGGACCGGAACCCAAGGCTCTTTACAGCGAGGGTGATCCTCCCCTGATGCCGGTGTCCATGCTCGGAGCCTTGGTAGCATGCTCTGCAGGCTGTTGTCTCACGGTCTGGTAGTGGGCAGGTTTCTCATGGGTTGCGATTTGGGACGTGGAGCATCATGAGCCATGCACCGCTATCACGTGAGCCGGGCGGTTGGGAGGAGGCCAGCACCTGTGAGACTGAGGTGCGGCGCTCAAGCAGGCTTTTGGCCGCCAGGTGGGCGCTCTAGGACATTTCTGTGACAGGGAATGAACTTCGGACAAGCGCAAGTTGCAAGCGAAGAAGCTGCTGAGCATAGAATTGCGTACGGAGGGACAGTTCTTGGAAGGTGGCCCACGTTGCTGCCGAAGTCCAGGAACAATTGCAGAAAGGCCGCCCGGCATGTAGAGACTCACAGCGAGACCCGCCATTGGAAGCCACTCAGCTATTGGTGTAGGATGCTGTAGGACAGTTTTTGGCATGCGTGTTTTCAAATGAAGGCCAGATCTATCGTTCGCGCACTTCTGCCCCCGATCCGGCCTCGGCCTCAGCAAAGACGTAGCGCAGCTGCCCGGGTGTTGTGCTATTTCATCGAAGACAGCCCGTGACTTGGGCTGCATGTTTCTAGGGTTAAGGGTTTAGGATTTAGGGTTATAGTTCAGCGTAGCCGGCTGCCATCCAATGTTCAGCCTTCGTCGGGTGGACCACCGGCCCTTGAACATGGACCATGCTCCTCATCGTCATCATCATCATCATGATGAGTATTAGGTGTGTGTGTGTATCTATACTACAGTGCCCCGCTTTGTGGTAGGGTCAGACGACTCCGCCCTGCAATGTTTGTTTGTTTTAAGGGAAGGCCCTTGTCAACATCTGCAGGAGTGTTGCCTAGACTGCCAGGACTACGAGCCTGAGAAGCTGCGCTTGTCTGACTTCTTGATCATCTGCCGGCCTCTCTTCTGCCCAGCGCCACGTAAGCGCCACATGTAAGTTTAGGGCTTACTGCCTGAAGCTTGGGAGTGCTCCCGAAATCATAGGGACTTCTCTTAGCGAGAGCTCTGTGCGAGGAACTGCCGAGAGCAGCTCCACAAAGAGATGGATTCGATCTGGCCACCCAGTCGGGAGTCTGACGCGGAGAAGTCTGTAGCTCGTCTGTATTCTTGTAGGCCTGAACCTGAATACTTTGCTGTCATGCAAATCGCCAGTGCTCCATTGCATGTTGCGGCTCGGAAATCGGCCGGGGGTCACTGAAGATGGAGCCCACCATCGTGATGATTCTGGCCTGCCAGGCGCAGAAACCAAAGCACGCAGCTGCTCTCTGGCAGCGTTTCCAGAATCCACTGAATTGTACGATTTTTTGTCGCCATCGCCATGGTCATTGTCGTCAACATCATTGTCACCACCACCGTCGCCACCATCACCACCATGATCGCCATCATCATCTCGATGATACGAACACATGCGGACCACGATGATGTTAGTGGTCATGGCAGTGACGATGGCAGTGATTATGGTGATTGTCCGATGATGATGGTGGTGACAGCGATGATGGTGCTGCCTTAGGTGCCCACATTCATCAGCTCTGTTTTTGCGCCCCAGCCTGGCCTCGGCTGTGCCTCGCTTGTCGCTTGGCTTGCCCAGGAGCAAGCCCTGCCGTGGGAGCACATGCCTCCGTTGCAGACGGAGCAGTAAGGATACTACTGCTGCCACGAATGTGTTTTAACAAACGCTGTCAGTGTGCTTCGGCAACATGGATGTTTTATTGTTCATGGTCAGAGATGGGTGCATTGACAGGTGGGGAGCAACCCTTGCGGGATTTTACCTTGAACTTCATGGGGGTGGCGGTTTGCGGACACTTCTGCCCTGTTTTCTGCGTTTCCGCCTTCAAGCAAGCTTGAGCTCCCTGAGGCAGTTCAGTGTTTGTTTACCCATTCTAGGCATGCCCAACGCGCTACTGAACCTCAACTCAACTTGTAGGCCCGAACCCAAAAAACTCGTGAGTCTATGTTTGGGCCGGGGTTAATCTCGAGTCTGCTCGGGGCATCTCTGAATCGCAGGCAGGTCCTTGTCTTGTCTTTCCGCTTGATGCTGCCGTCTCAATAGCATGTACTGTATCTAGTTAGTTACCTTGCGAAGCGGACGGAGTGGACGGACGTTTCAGCAAGGTGGGAGGTAATTGCAAAAGCTCGAATCCCTTCTGGCCCTACTTATATCCCTAAATTCCTAAACCCATAGCAGCTAGACTCGACCAGACTCAACCAGGAAGAGGACCGTGGCCTCGCCATCAAGTGCAACCCACATGGCGAAGGCCCCAAGGGCCCTTGGAGCTCAAGTCGGTCCGGGTTTCATGGACCCAACCTGCTTTGCTGGGCAGATGCTTTCTGAGAAGGAATTCTTCTGGCCGAAAGCACAGCCTTGTGAAAGTGCTGTGTCAGGTTTCGTGCGGCTTAGGATTTGGAGGGGGATGAATCCATGGTGGATGCAAGAAGGGAAGAAACAGGCTGTCGAGGTTGTGTTGGGTTTCAGTTGAGGCATGTTCCCACTAAGCAAGGGCATTGGATGGAAAGGTTTGAACTTCTTGGGGTCTTGGTGTGATTGGGCCTACCTCAACCCAGGAGACAATTGCAGACAAGGTTTTAGACCTCAGGCATCAAGAAACCCGGAACATACTGTGGCGGCCAAGAAGCTCATGCAGCTAATGCTTCTGACTCCCAGACCGCAAAGTCTGGGGCTGCAGTTGCTTGGGAGAGTGCACAAGAAAGCACAAGAACTTCCGAACTCTCAAAGCTGTTGTTCCGCTCCCCGTGGTATCCCCTTGCAAGGCACCATCTGCGACGAGGAGTTGCGCACAGCCCTACAGGGCATCTTTGCTTGGCCAGATTCCACACACGACCTAAGGGACGAAGACTTGGGGTTAACATTCCGATATCTTATACATCATGCAAGCGGTGCTCTACATTTCGTCGTGGAGCAAAGGTTAGAAGTCGTTTTCGTTTGGTGTTTTGAGCTTCAGCATGTCCTACTACATGCCGCTTGCAGTGCCTGTCCCGAAAGCCAAACAAGCCCTGCCCTGCTGAGCCCTGCTGCCTTGCCCCGAAAAGTTTCTCCTCTTGGCGACCTTGTTGTTCTAAGGCATGGGCTACGTGCCGCTGCATAGCTGCAGTTGGGTCCCGTATGATTTTTGGTACACCGTACACCCTTTCATGTCGAAAGCAGTTCGATCTGCGGCCTGTGGCCTCCTGAATAAAATTGGCGGCCTTTCAACACTGCACCAGGTACTCGTCTGTTGGGCTAGTTTAGGCTGAGAGCCTCGGGGTGCTTAACAACTTGTCATACCGAGCCTCGAGCCCAAACCCGGCCGAACCCACGAAGCTGCTCACAGGGTGTGTTCTGCCCCCCCAAGTATGCAGCAGTATGCCTCCTGCACCAAGCGATCCACCCTGAATCCACACTGTGCATCGAGGCTGACGAAAGCGGTTCTGGACATCTACTGCCAGGTGATCGGCAGCCCCATCCCGCGAGCGGCTGGGCGCCACCTGAGCTCGAGTACGCTCGAGTGCACCCGAGTACGCGCGAGTACGCTTTTTCGCAGTCGCTGTTTCTCGTCACAGTGCCGATTTTGTGTACTCTTTTTTGTTCTCCTTCCCTCCCCCTCTCTTTGTCGCTCGCTCGCTCTCTCGTTTCGCTCTCTCTGTTTTTTTTTTTTTTTTCTCTCTCTCCCTTTCTCTCTTTCTGTCTCGTTTTCTCTCCCTGACTGTGGCGCCTTGCAAGTGCTTCGAACGAGAGCTCTGGCAGTTTTTTGCACTGAGGATCTCGACTATGATGCCGCCTGGACAAGTTAAAGAAGCGGAGTGTGGTCCAACATCGCAACAATGGCAGAAACAACAGCAACAACAGCGTCAACAGCAACAGCAAGAACAGCAGCAACAACAACGACGACAACGACGACAACAACGACCACCACCGCGACCACGACCCCGACCACAACCACCACCACGATCACCACCACGGCCGCCGCCACAACCATCACCACGACCACCACCAACAGCAACACCAACAGCAGCACCAACAGCAGCAGCAACAGCAGCAGCAACAGCAGCAGCAGCAACAACAACAGCAGCAACAGCAGCAGCGGCTGCGGCAGCGGCTGCGGCACAAGCATAAGCACCAGCACAAGCACAAGCCAGTCACCAGATGAGGTCGACGTACAATGAAGTTTCTGATGATGGTCATGCTCATGGGTGCTGGTGGTAGCAATGCTGAGATCATGATGATGATGATGACGATGACGATGATGATGACGATTGTGGTGCTAATGGTGATGATGAGGAGGAGGATGATGATGATGATTCTGATGATGATTCTATAGTGCGATCTTGTCTGTGTCTTTCGAGTGTGGCGGAAATTGCCCAAGAGATGACCAAATTTTGCTTCGCATCCTCTGTGTGCTGTTTCTCACAGATGTGCAACCTCTGGCCCAGGAATTCTTCGACTTCGTGTGGATTTTCAGGCAGACTGTTGAACATGCTTTGCCTGATTAAACTTCATTCAGGTTTGAGGCATGAGCTTTCTACTGTCATGCAACATGTTTTGACCTTAGTCAACTCATTCTCAACTGTTGTTACTTCATGGTGAACTTAACACTGGAATTGGCAACCCGGCCAGATGGAGCCATGTTAGCTTGGACGTTGGGAATGTTCAGTGGTTGGTGTTGCATGTCTTGCAGCTTCGTACGTGTTAAAACCTTTTCTGCGTCAGGAGAAACTGCGGGTTTTCCAGCGAAGAGCTGGAAGATATTCGCTCCTGAGCAGAACCGCCTTTAGGGTCGTTGCATGTCGTTGAGCTCGGTAGTGACCGGTATAAGTAGTCCGCAAGGTTTGGTTCATGACGCTGTAAAGCCGAAGCCCCAGCCCCAAGCTTCAAGGTGAGCTCTTCGAGCGGAGCGACGCAGCCCAGCTGGTTACAAGCATTTGGGAGTGTGTGGGTTACATTGGGTTATTGGTTACCGGGTTCAAGACGTACAAGGTGTGTGGTAGGAGAGCAGTCACTGGGATGCAAAGAGTTGAGTGGGCACCAAAGTTCTCCCCTCAAGCTTGAGGCAGGCACCAGTGGGCTCCGGCATGTCGCCCCATTGTCCGGCAGCAGCATGTGTCAGCGCGCACGAGAATCCCGAACCCTTGGCCCAATCTGCAGAGAGCGAGGAGGATGGCTCCGGCGAGATCTGCACTACGGAGTTGGGCCAGATCTTTCGCGCTCTGGGCCACTTTCGTGGCAGTTGCAGGGTCCCAGGTGATGAGCTGGACCTTAGGCTCTTGAGATGGACTTCAGGGATTGAGGATGGTTGAGGCTTGAGGGAGCACGGAATCGAGAGTCACTCCAGGCAATTGGGGCCATCTCGGTTGACGGCTTAACTTAAACGGTTTCGACGCTTAGTGGCGTGCTGCACGGAGCATGGTCTCCGAGACAGGTTTCTCTGAAGCCGGTGCCCTCCGTTTCCCCAACTGAGTCCTACTGTGCATCCCTCAAGTGGTGCGCAGCTGCGCCAGGTTACAAGGCCAACATGGAAGAGATCACTGGACTCTTGGCGCCCCTGGCGGGAGACAGGGAGCTTTGAAGCTTGGGGTAGTGGGCTGATGGCAAAGAAGGACAAGAAGCACAACACGCACAAGACGCACAAGAAGTGTAAGAAGGTGCAATAAGCAAGTGTTGGTGATGTTGCACAAGTCGGTTCGGGACTCAGAGACAAACTCTTGCTGCTGAGGATTTGCAAAGTGCTCCGAACATAGTCTGTAAGAGAGTTAAACCTCAAAGTCCCTCGAACTTGGAGGAATGGTGCTTTGATTGTTGTGATGCTTTGCTATTAGCTACTCCGCTCTAGCGATGGGTTTGGAACATCTGGCATCCTTGTGGTTTGTCAGCACAGCCTCCTCGCTAGTGCTAGTGTCTTGTGGGGAGTCCGATCGAAGCCTTACCTGCCTTGCGCGAGTGTAGAGCCTTGCTGCTTGGCTGGAAACTTGAAGAGAGCTGTGTTTCGAGTCGGGGTCCATATCGGACGGGATCGAGGGTCTTGAGAGTCTTTTACTCTTTTTGCTCCATGACTCCAAGGATTGCTCCTCGACGTCGACTTTGACGAGCTTCCTGGCCCACATATGCCAGGGCTGGTGTGAACCTGCGACCAAGTCACGTCCGCTCAACCCTCAAGACGCAGCCTGGTCCCGATCCAACCTGTGGGTGCATGTCACAGACATTCACAGACCAGCCCTTCGAAACCAAGTTTCTTGCAGGGCCTTTTAGCATGATGGTGCACGAAAACATCCAAAGTCTAAAACCGGGCAAATGCAGCCACCTGGCCAGGAGTGGCTTCCTGAGCATGACGGAGTTTGTGCCCTTCCTCTGCATGACAGCTTTTCGATGCCCTGTCAAGCCTTGGATTTTGTTGCCCGATACGCCTTGCAGCATCGGCAGTGCAGAATGGCAGCTGAGGACACTCATGGGCTACTTCCGCACGCTGGACCGTGGCACTTTTCGTGCAGAGTGCGTGTCATCGTTTGAGTGTCATTTGCAACCAGGTTTTCGCTCGTCAATCGGCAGAAAGTCGGGAAATTTCAGAAGGGCTGCTATTGCGCCGTCGGGGATGCTAGCCCTAAGCTTGAAGACATATTTTCATGGCCCTCTGGCATGCTGGGATCATCGAAGGAGTTATTCTGGCCACTCAATGGACCGCGCCAGATGAAAGTTTAGTTCTCTAATTGCATAGCGCCCATAGAATGCTGCTTGAAGACCCAAGCTTGCCTTTCGATGAGCCTGACCCTGAGACACACGAAGAAAAGAAACTCGGGACACCGTTTTCCCTCAAAACGGTCTCCAAGCGCAGCGGATACATGAAAAACAGTCCAGAGATGCTTGCTACAAAAACTATGTCAGACAAGTTCACAGGCTATGTGGGCTGTTTCAGTGCATGAAACTTGCTTTGACGCCCCGAGCCCCCCTCGGGCACCACCTCTCACAGCACCCCCCAAAGCGGGAGGAGCTGAAGAAGATTCAGGACGTCTTTCAGGAGACGGCGGTGGAAGGAACTTTGACCTTACTTACGGCAACAACGTTACATAAGAAAGCAGTCTCCCGAGGTAAGGTATCCTTCAGAATTTCCATGTTCCCTGTACCTTGGGTCAGATTCAGCTTCTTCAGAGAGCGCAGTTTCGATCCAAAAGCAGGGGGTTGGGCTCGTCATTTCGCTGACTTCCACTCGATAACGGCAAAGTGAGGATCCGCAGGCCCTTCAGCAAAGGCCAGCACGACCAGTCGCAGATCACGACCCCAGAACTTGCTCTGAAGCCCACTGCGAAGAACTAAATTGTAAGAAGCTGGCCACCCACACTAGGCATAGGGTCAACTGGCTGAAAAGCAACTGCAAATTGCCCGCAACTCCCCTGCACGAGGGCTTGCGGTTTGACGATCAACGCCTGTAAAGAGAGCTTGAACTTTTGAACCCCGCGTTCTTTGGCAAGTTGTCTGGAAGGATCGGGTCGTTGCTCCCATGTCTCGGCCATCATGGCGTCTTTCCGCTTTGTTAGTGTAAAGATTCCCCGACAACCCATTGCTGGACCTTGGAAGTTTGATGATCGGACATCCTTTCCGTGACCCAGGCTATCTTCACGTGGATGGCATCAAACAAGCGCGGCTCGGCCGAGCCTCCAAAACAGCCGGGGGATCTTCAGGAAATTCAAGTCTAATCTGGTTGCAGGCCAGAAGCGGACACTGCTTCGGAACGCTGCAGCTCCTAGCCCTGCAGCCTCAATGCAGTCTAGGCCCCTTACGGAACATGGGGCGAGCTAAATATGGAGCTGGTTGCGTTGAAGAATCTTGAAGAGGAAATCTCACATGCGAAGGTGCAAGATGCTGGGCAAGCACATGCTAGAGACGCCAGAAGAGGAGGATGGATTGTCGCGTGCCCGTGTAGTTCGGCTAAGTCAGTATCAAAGGGGGTCTCTGGAACTTACTACTTACTGCTGTGCTCCCCGTGCAGAGTATCAGGGCGCTGTTTTCGTAGAACCCTGAAGCTGGAGTGCGTTTCAGTCAGCACACAGGATGACGAGCTGGACTTTGAAGACTTCGTGGACTGGGTCGATGAGAGCAGGCCACGGACTCGACCAGGGCTCGGCATGCGGTTCTTGACCTAGTGGCTTTGATATGTGTATATATATATATATGCACATGTATATATATATATATATATGCTAAACCCTACGCTCGTCCACTTGTTTGTGCTTGGGAGGCACAAGAGCATGATGCACGAGCGGAAGCTGGCTGGATTCGGTTACTGGAAGGCCTTCGCATGGAGCTTCTAGCGTGTAAGCCGCGTTGCTTCTTGCGGTGGCGCTGAGCCTGCGTGTGCTTCAAGTTGACTCGACATCTTGCTGTAGGCTTCGATTCGATAGCCTGCGACGCATACTGAACTTTATCATCCGAAGCAGTTTGTTATACCTGGGTCAGCTTTCGCTGAACTCTGAAGCCCTGTGGCAGGTAGAGTGCCTCCGCGAGCTGCCAGTGCCTAAGGGGCTTCTACCAGAGTTGGGAAGTAAACTCCTGGAGGCTGCGGTTACCCGAGTTGTTTGAAGGCTCTTGGCTGGCAGTTGAAGGCGCGCCCCAAACGGTATTCTCCTGTCCGTTGCACTTAGTCGAGCTGAAGCGACCCTGAATGGGGAAAGCAATCTCAGCCTGACAGTGGGGCACACCTTGCTACAGCTGTTGCTTCCGGCCAGCTCCAAAATTGACTTAGCGAAGTTGAAGCTTGGCAGCTCCCTCAAGCGTGCCCTAGCTCGCTGGACCTTCGGGATCGCATGGCAGAAAGAGAGAGTGGTTCAACGTGACCTGAGTCTGGATTCCGGTCGGCGGCTATGGCCCCCGAAAGATTCATCCCTAAGGTTCAAGGAGTTCGACAGAGAGGAAAAGGGATTCTTGGCCTCTCGGCTGAGATTGAGCTTCAGTTCCCCTTGTCCGTCCCGAAGCAGGAGTTGGTTGTACCTACTATGCAAGCGTTGCTTTCTGATCTCGGGGCATCTTACAGAAGTCTGAGCAGTTAACTATCAACAGCAAACCTCGAGTTCAGCTGATGCTGCAGAGCTTCTGTACTGGTGAGTCGGCCTTTGGAAAGCCGAACCATCATGAACCATGCGGTTCTCTGAGAAACGTCGGGAAGGTGAACATGCTAGAGTGGCCTTGCAGAGCTCTGATCATCTGAGGAGATTCAAGCACTGCCCCTCGGCTGGATTCGTGTATGACCAGTTGCTAAAAACCATCGCTTTGGACAGCTGCACTGTATTGGTTTGTATCATGCAGGTTGCTTTTCAGGCTAACGCGTCGTGGCAGTGGCTTCACAGAGAGCCCTTCATGCTTCTTGAGCTTTGGGAGCATCGAAAGCAGTGGCGGAGATCAGCTCTTTAGCACCTCGCGTCCTGTCGGCTCATGTCGGCCCCATTTCGCTTTCGCAAGGACAAAGCTCCTGCAACACCTGGAATTCATTGATGCTCCCCGCTCGCGAATGGACTCTTGGGCCTCGGTTTAAGAAATCCGGGTCTTGGCTGAGGCTTCAGGCCCAAGCTCTGTGAGGGCAGCGCCTGATGTGCCTGCACCGCACCTTGACCCCACCCTGCTGGTGACATTGTGTGAGATTTAGATTTTGTAAATGATTATGTTCACGTGTGAAGCGGCCTTTCCATGGAGTTCGTGTCGAATCCTGACCCGGCGTCGGCCGAGGAGCAGAAGACGCTCTTGCGTCAGATCGAATCTGCGCGGAAGCACGCTTACGAATCTGGTGTTCGGGCGGCTTGGTTGAAGCTGCTACATTGTTGGGCACCCTGAGAAACATCATCAGTTCCAAGCCCACGCAGCATCAATCCGAATGCGGAACACAGGTTGTTCCAAACAAAGCGTTAGGACTAGAAAGGACGCGCTGCAGAGATGTACTGTGGGTGCCAGGAGTCAATCCTCGAGCAGGACCACAACGTCACGTTTTGGACTTTCGTCGCTTTGCTACGAGGGCAGGGGGAAGGATCACAACATGCTACAGCCCAAGAAGCCAGTCCTATGCGTGAGCTAGTTTGAGTTCATGGAAAACGACATCCTCGACCCCAAGAGCTTGCTGGAGCCCGCCAAGAAATCTCAAACCCACTTCAACCTCTTCAATCGCCAAGGTGCAGCTATGTCGGCTGCTCCAGTCCCACCGCGAACGGTGGCATGCCTTGACGTTCTCACGTTTGCGTCCCAAGCGAAGGGCCAAGGGTGGGTCAGGGCTGAGCTGATCTCAGAATCCGAGCCCCACAACCAAACTACAAGGAACCATGCTAAACAAATGCCATGAAGCCGAACCTGCCAGGCCATACATGACTACGCAGGCGAATGTGGGATGGGTTTCGGTGGTTTACCCAAAAACGGGCCTGCGAAGGTTGGAAAGCAAGAAGACCTCGGATCTCATGGCGGAGCTGAAGTTTACGAAGTTCGAGGCTCCAGAATTTTAAGCTGCTGCACTCTGTCTCTCTCTCTCTCTCTCTTTCAAGGGTCTGCTTCGGACTTGCGAAAGCACCCTGCTGCACATGTCCGCGATATCCAGCTCTTATGCGGGTTTGTGCACAAATCAGCCTGTATGTCCGGAGCTTCCAGACAAGGTGGAGCAATTCCGTCACGTTTTTGCCCAGTGGGCAAGATGGCAACCGGATGGGGAAGACTCCACGCGTGAGAGCCTGGCCTGACAGTCTAGAGATAATGGAGTGGTGGAAGCAGAGTGTTCGGGCTGCAGGGCGGCCAGCTCGCGTAGCAATTAGCTGAACGCACTCTGCAATACAGGGCCAAGGACATAGCCCCGAAATCGGTAACATTGTGGCAAGCCCCCCAGGCCAATGCACAGTTCTCGGCGTCTCGAGCTCGTGCCAAGAAAACACAGGCAGACAGAGCAGTCGAGCGGATAAACCTGAGGGGGTAGGATTGGTGGAGCTGGCGGCGCATGGTAATTACTTCTATATGCTGCTTGTAGACTAGATGATACAGGTTTTCCCCTCGACCACTCACAACACCCATCATTACGGTTTAGACCCAGAACCCTCAGCAAAAGACGGTAGCATGCTTGATGCTATCGTGATCCGAATCCAAGGATTGACACAACAACGGAAACCTTGTCGCAGGACCCCCGAGGATGCACAGGTCACTTTAAGTAGGCTCGTGCAGGCGCTATGAGCATCGTTGTGCAGTCTTTACGTCATGACAGTTGTGGGCAGCATCGCGGTCCAGATCAGCGTTGCATCATCAGCCGTGAGAAATCTGTGCAACTTCGCATTCGTCACCCTTTGCAAGGAGCAGGTCTTTCGAGTGTTCCGCTCCGCAGGCGCCTCGCTGGCTGCCAGGCCGCAAAGCACGTCTGGACCTGCGAGGCCTAAACCCAAACAACTCTCTCATGGGCCCTCTATTTATGTACTTCCAAGAATTTGCCTGCCTCGTCGTTGTGGCTTCCCTCGGTCTAGGGTCCAGCGCTTTGCGCATCCCAGGCCGGCCATCGAATGAGCGTGCTGCTCTGGGCCCTGGAGCCTTTGCAGGAGGGCTTCCGCCATCCGGACAGCAGTGGCTGTTGGTAACCTTTGATTTCTTTACGGGGTTCAGGCTCGCTCCAAAGCCTACTTTGCTGCTGGAGCCGTGACAGCCTTCAATCTGGAGCACTGAGGCAGACTGAACTTCCACAACTTCCTGAGGCTCATGCGCTCCTTGGCACCACAAGAGGACAAGGTTTGCACTGAGCTGATCACCTGCCTCGCGAAATCCTGCGGTTTCTCCTTAAACTCGGAGCCTGAAGTGTATAGACCCCGTAAAGCTATGCAACAATTCCTTGTGTTCATGTAGTTTCGCAAGGTTGGTATTAGCAGCGACAATAATACACGAAGGTGCGGAAGGCTCAGCATTAAACTTAGACATCTCCCAAACTGACAGGCTGGGTGGTCGATACGGATTTCGCCGGATTGGGCAGCGGCCTAATCACAGCAAAGTGCCCCTCGGCGCACAGTTTGGCGAGGGCAATCCCAGGCAGATGGTTTTGCAGGTGAGTTGCACACAGTCCGGTTTAATGGCGCAGGCTTTTACTGAAGGGTTTTTTGTCGAAACGATGAGGCGCTAAACCCGGATCATGAATCATGACTGATGGCGCAACCTAAGTCCATATTCCATAGCACTTTCTGCATCCCCCTGCTGATCGGGATTGGCCCCAAGCAACATGACTCACATTAGCAACTTTAGGCCGTTCGTGGTTGATCACACTTAGATGAAGTCACATGCACATAACATGGTACATTTTGTTCGGTGTAGAGACACTGAAGCAGAACCTGGTAACATCGGCCCCATGCACTTGGGCTTTGATCTTCATGAATGATTGCCCCGTTTGTGGTCTCTCTATTGCATGTGCTTCGTGGGTTTGTAGGGGCCAATACTTTAGGCCTAAGCCTGACCCAGGAAGACATGCCGGACGCCGCAGATGCCGCAGCTAGACGTCCCATGGGAGGATTTTCGTGCGTTTTGGGTTTGAAGAAAGTTTACTTTGAACGCTACGCGACCCGCCTCGGCCGGGGCCTGCACAGCTGCGTGGCGCTTGCCGTCGAGAGGACATTACCCTTAAACCCAGGGTTGTAAACAGGCTCTGAGGCGAACACGGGCCCCCGCATGGTCTTAATTAGATCTCCTGCGTTCTCTGGGGCATATCCATGGTAGCTGGGGTGTGTGGGTGGATGTAGTCGGTGTATACTGTTGGGTCATCCTGCTTGGGCTGGTGGACTTGCCCCGGGGGTCAAACAGTTATGGGCCCCTTCAGAGTGGAACCTACCGGAGCCCTGCCTGCTTCTGCTAGCGCGAGAGGCGTGAGAGTCGAAACCCCAAATCCCAAAATCTGAACCCTAAACCTGTCGAACAAAGGGTTCCTAACCTAACCCCAAACCCTAAACCCTACGCCCTGAACCCCAAAGCCTTGAAGAAAGGAAGGCAAGTAGTTGGGGTCGGGGTCAGTCCCAGGCTGGCGCACATGCAGTTCATGCGCGATGGGGGTGCGGGGGTGGTAGAGTGGGAGGGTGGCCCCTATATGGTCAAGCCCAAACTGCCCTTCGATCCCTGCCACCGAGCCGCCCAGCCAATTTCTTTGTGATGTCAACACTCATCTGAGACCCTGCAAGAAACTCCATAAACCCTGTCGCCTTAAAACTTACTAACCCCATGTTCGTGTATCACCCTGATCCGCCGAGGCCTCGGGCTGTAGGTGTACGGGTAGCCCAAAGCAGTCCCACCTCTCCCAAACACGTCCATGCTCGCATTGCACGACAGTTGACTCGGAGAGACGCTTTTCCAGATGCGCCGGCAACCGGCCCCGAAGAATATAAGTTAAAGGCCTTGGAGAGCTCTGAGCTGCCAGCGCTACGCAGACTTCAGATTTCATGCTCTGCTCTGAGGTCGCCATGTCTCATGGTCGGTGCGCAGAGCCCTTCCCAGATGCCTGGCCCCTTCGCGATGAACTGATTGTTTGCCTGGATGCAAAGGGCAAAAGGGTTTGCCCACGATGAGCGCCTCTGGCCTGCATTCTGTGGCTGCCTGCATCTGAGGTTTAGCCCTGCAGAGCTGCGAAGCGGCTCTGCCTTTGTGAGTTGGCAATGGGAGGCATGCCGACCTAGGCCTCCAATAGTCCTCCAATCAACACCTAGCAGCTCCAAAGAGTCGTCTCCAGGGGTCCACCTTGTGCCCATGTCATGGATCCTGTCGTGGTCAACTCTTCACTGGAAACGGGTTAACGAAAGCAAGTCTTGGGAGGGGCACTGGTGGTGCACTCGAACTTCCATGTCGGATGCATCCGTCGAATGCCAGCGGGGTGCCTCGCGCGTCTCGTGCCTTTTGCCTTTTCGTTTAGGTGGTGCCGGCGCGTTCGCATCAGTTCGCACTCGCTGCGCCGTGCACCAGCTGTAGGTTTGCGCGAGTTTGCGCTGCAATGTTTCAGCTTGGACATTGCCTTTTAAGGAACCTCTGCCGCAGCTGAGTTAGCTTCTTCGGCTAGGTCAACCCATTTTTCAAGACTGCTGTTGTCAAGTCTACTGAGCTGTAACGACTCTTTGTTTCTGCAGGGCAGGCAACCTTCGCAGGATGTCCTGAACACCAGGAACATCCGCTGAATGTGGGCAAGCACGCGTAGCTGGCAGAGTTGACGCCTGAAAACCTGTGGCGTTGATAGCAAAACAGCTCCACGACTCCGAAGTACACGTTGCTTGAGTGAGGTGGTTGGACAAGTGAGTGAGCAGTCATAGGTTTTTGGAAACATGGGCTTGAAGGGAAGGCACAACCACGCAACTTCAAGAACAAGATGTATGGGGACCCGTGCCAGTGCGTTGTTCGAACATAGTGACCTAGTGGTTGCGTGGACAGCATCAAGCCTGAGCTTTTTGTCATAGCTGATTTGTATACGCTTTACTCAGTCGGATACCCTAAGCAAGCCGCACAGGTATGTAATATACATATGTAAAAAATAAATAAAAGAATATATATATATATATATACATGTATGTATGTATGTATGTATGTATGTATGTATGTATGTATGTATGTATGTATGTATGTATGTATGTATGTATGTATGTATGTATGTATGTATGTATGTATGTATGTATGTATATAATATACATATACTTCTGACATATACACACAATCTCAGACAAGCAGCCAGCATTGCCTTTTGTTGCTGACTTTCAAGAGCTTTGGCGGCATTTTGCCGCAAGTGGTAGGCAATGACGTTTCGAGGCACGGCGTCGGGCCTCGCATACCCCTTCGACATCACCCAGCGCGAGCATGAATACTGGGTACAAGCTTTGAATCAACAGGACTTGGATCGTCATCTCTGTGTGGCCACCAGCAGCCTCTTCAAGTGGATGCAGGCTGCTCGAATGGAGCTTGCATGGCTGCAGGCAGGCTATAAAAATCTGTCCTATATCGAACCGCAGTTGCCCCGACGCCTTTTGGTGGCCTCTCAGGGCATTAAGATGATCCGGCCGGCAGCGCTGTCCGAAGCTCTGCACAAGTCGGTCCTTACCCGGGTGAGCATCGGAAAGGTCGGCAAGACCTCCATGGAGTTCCGCTATGAGATCTTTTTTGATGGCGACAAGGTTGCGGATGGCTGCACCGTCATGATCTTTGCAACCGGACGATCTGGGAGCTTCACTCCAACACCTGTCCCGGATGATCTGAGAGCCTTGGCGGTGGATGGCCTTAACGCATCGCCTGCGGAGCTGTCCCGGTCAGTTTCTGATCAGATGCCACAAGTTCCCCAAGCTTTGCTCAACAGTCCTGCAAATTCTGGAAATTCTCAAAGTTTGCAACATGTGTACCGGACGCGGGCTTTCGTGCGCTTCTCGGATGAGGACCTGAACAAGCATGCCAACCACTCGGCGCAGGCGCGGTTCTTCGAGGATGCGCAGGAAGAGTTGGCCGCTGACGCTGGGGCTCCAGATGAGCTGCGCAGACTTGCAGCTGGCCACATCGAAGCGATTGCCATCACCTACATGGCTGAGGCACATGCTCTTGACGAGCTTGAGATTTTCTTGGCCCCCAGTGCGGCTGCACATTCTCTGGATGTTTGGGTCCATCGGATGAGACCCGACCGGCGGCTGTTGGCAAAAGGACTGTGAAGGCTGTGCAAAATAGCCCCCATAAGCCGCCGTACTCTGCTTTTGTTGCTTGTTCTGGTCCTTGGGTCCTTTCAGTCGAGCAGCCCACGCCGAGCCAAATCTCCCCGTACGTACCCGTAACTGTAAGATGCGACTTTGAGCCCTCGACAGCAATGCATCGGCTCCGTTGCTCAAGCAGGACGGATCTGCCTCAGCGAGCTCCCAGCAGCTACGACTACGACGTCGCGCCTTTGAAGGGGTTTCGGATTTGGGCCTGCGCATCAGTTCCTCAGAAGTGGTGGCGCTGCTGTCAGTAGACTTGAAGGGAGCGGCGGCAAGAAGAGGAACGCTGTGCACGCTGCATGCCAGCTTAAACTACCTTCTTCACGCCTATTTTCGCAGGAGTCTCATTGAAAAAACGTTCACTTATAACCCTGGGAGGTCTATTTTTTTCAAGGATTTTTTTGTTTTTTTTTGGGATTTTTTTTTGTCCTTGCTACTGGTAAACCCTAAAAAAAAAACCCTAAACCCTTTGGGGTCTGCTAGGCGGGCGGCAAAAACCCTAAACCCTAAACCCTACTCCCTAAACCCTAAACCCTAAACCCTAAACCCTACTCCCTAAACCCTAACCCGAATGGACGCTGGTTGGATTGTAGGATACACCGTCGTACCTCGTAGTCGCCCTGCGATGTGGATTCGCCCCAGCTGTGCAGGAGTGAAAAAAAAAACCCTAACCCTGAACCCTAAACCCTAAACCCTAAACCCTAAAGCAAAAAACATGGCACAGCTCGCTAGCTAACGCATACACGCAGTAGCACAACCTGTCTGCCCCGCCATGGACTTTGTGAACATGGTTGACGACTCCCTCCTGCAGGCATGGGCGGTTGGGGGATCGTGGCAGGGCCCGCTCCCGATGCTGGGACGCGCTGCCCAGCAGGCCCTGCTGCTTGTCGTGACAGGGTCGCTTGCCCTGGGCTTTGGTGTGGGCATCTTTCGCCGAGCTGTCCTGGCCAAGCAAAGTCACATGGACGCCAAGACTGAAACGCTGCGGGTCAGGATTAAAGTCCTTGAGGACCTCCTTGCTGACCATGCCCAAACGATGCGATCTGACCAAGCTGCGATCCAGTCGGAGATCTCCAAGACCTATCAGGAGGCCAGCAAGTCAGCAATGGCGGTGTCGCAGCAAACTACGAAACTTGCTGATATCAAGCTGGGGCAATCTGAGCACCTCCGGGACACACTGAAGTGCTTTGCCGACCAAGAAAAACGCCTGGACGACCTTGAGAAATTGCTCAAGCCCCTGCACCTCAAGATTGACAAGATCAATGGGGATGTGGTCGGCATTGGCAAAGACTTGGGAGCCCTACGTGATGGTATGGGGGAACTTCGTGGAGAAACCACGGCCGTCCAGAACACGCTCCGGGATCTCACCAAGGACATGCTCAACGCCAGGAAGGATGTTGCCGCTGCCCATGATGAAGTCAAACAGGTCTGGGCCTTGGCAGACAGGTTTGACAAGATCGACTACCAGATGAAAGGCCTGGACAGTCTTGCTGCTGGCATGAACTCGCTCAATGAGCGAATCCCTCAGATGGTTGCTGACTTTCAGGCCGAAGTGGACAATGTCAGGAGGGGCATTTATGAATGCCTGGATCGCATTGGGCCTCCGCCGTCCAACCGCTCCAACCCGCAGGGGCAATCATCGCAGGTGCACCTGGAGTCCCAGGCTCCAATGACGAATGCCGTGGTGCGCCCTGCCATCAACCTCTCGACGGCCATCCCAATGCAAACAACGACGCCCTCGATCACAGTGCAGTGCCCCCCGGGTGAGCTCTTCAGGGCCCTCTTTCACCCCCCGAATCCGTGATGATGGTGAGAGCGGATACGGCCTGCTGAGCTCGTAGTGCGGATGACATGTATGTGCGAATTTAGGCATGTGCATGACTGCACTATATGCATGTAGATGGCAATTTGTGCAAGTGCATAGCTACATTTTCTGCATATTTGACACAGGACGATACTACTATTCTATGTTAGGTTCTAAGCCTACTAGCGACTTCAGGTTGGGAGCCAAAGCTTGTAAGGGTTTCGCACAATAGTTGCTGGTGACAATTGATGGTCCCTGTAGCACGTGAAGGGTTGGTTCGCATGTAATCCTGCATGATTGTGAATTCGTGGATTTGTTGCTCGCTTGTATGACATGGAGACTGTGAGCACGGTGCAGCCCCCCTCGGGAATAATCTTCTCCCGCTTCCCCTTATGATATTCTCCTCCCAGTCCTTCTTCCCTATCCGAGGGGGCTAGCTGCTCTAAGCTCTCGCGTGCGAGTCACACTGTACTTTATGCATGCTGCATTTGTAGCCTGTACTTTATGCATGCTGAATTTATAGCCTAAAAGAATTTGGAGAATTTGGAGAGAATTTGTGGAGTTGCCTGAATTCAGAATTCGGTGTATCTATGCTTGCCACATACAAGTCTGATGTGTGCCGAAGAGGGTACCTGCCTCGGAAGGCGAAGGTGTGCTGAAAAGTTTGTCACCTCGTGTCGTGGGATGCGGGGATACCCTACCACCCCCCCTTGCCTACTTAGTCCCTGAATTCCCTGAAGATAGTGGATGTATGAAGTAGTGTGAGAGGGGAGCCACAAACCTGTGCACTTTCTGGGCAAGGTAATACTGTAGCAAGGTAGGATGAGTATGTCGCATAACACACGGGGTTAGCCTGTGCCACGCTGCAGCTGCCTGCAAGTGCAAGGCCTGTGCATGCATCATGACCCCCATTCTGACACATCTCTGCTCCTAACCTCTACATCCTCCATCCTCCCTCTCCCTACAACTGAAACCCCCCATGACGGACATGAGTTCTCGCGGGGAATCTGTTGCTGAAAAGGCGGAAAGGCGGGCCTTTGAGCTCCTCCAGGCCCCCGAAGCTCTAACAAAGGAGCACATCGTGGAGCTCTATGACTTGGCCCCCCCCCAATGTAAGCAAGGTCCCACGAATGCCAGGCAGACGATGACGGGGGGCAATCCAAGAAGTTCTAACGCCCCTCTTCACAATATTTTTGACCTTCCCTGTGTCACTCAAGCTGTGACCAAGTTTGTCAGACACTATGCTCCTGGGATACCTTTCAGCACTGTCACCATCCTGGAAGGGGCAAAACATGGAGTTCATGTTGACACGCACAACGCATCCCCCCCGAATGTCCTCATGAATCTCACAACGTTCCATGGCGGGGGCCTATGGATTGAGCAAACAGGGGGTCCTGATCACCTTGAGTGTGAAGGTAGAAACATGCAGGGACGAGTTTGGAGCCTCGAAACCAAGCCAGTTGTTTTCTCTGCCTCACGCTTGAAACACATGGCCACTCCGTGGAAAGGGACTAGGAGGGTTGTCTTAATTGCCTTTACTGTTGGGACAATCAGAACTCTGTCAGAGGAGGTCAGGAGTCTTCTTGCTGCTGCAGGCTTCTGCCTGCCTACTAAGGCACAACTTAGTTTCTATAAAGCGCATCTCATCCGTCCGGGTGAGCTACGGCAGCTCACGCTGCCTAGCAGCATAGTCAGAGGGAGTGTAGGAATGGACAAGACAGGACAGCCTTCTGAGCTTGAACTTGAGTGTACCGAGGCCATTGAGGTCACGAGCTCAGATGAAGAACCTGTAAAAGCTGTGGGGCTCCGTAGAGGGAATCTACTCCGTCCCCCCCCAATGAGCTATATGCGTAGACTCATGTGGGAGGAGGATGCTGATTTGGAGGAGACCTTCTCACGGCAAGAAGGGCCTCTGCCCTCCCATGGGCCCCCCCCTAGTAAGCCCTGCCCCCCCCCACTGGAGCCTCCCCCAAAAAGGGCAAGGACCGCGCCGGCGGGTTTCTGAAAGCCTCCGACTAAGGAGCAGGTGGCTGCGCACCTAGGGATTGCGTGTGCAATATATGCCAACTCAGGGGCCAGCTGCACTGCACACCCCATGTCTCCCACTCCTTGCATGTTTCTACATTTGCATGTCTTTGAATTTTGAGTGATGTCTGCAACTGTGGACTGTGAACTGTGAGCTTGCTGCCGCTGTGGAGGGATGCACGGAGTGTGTTGAACTGTCATGGTACTGGCCGGCGCCACACCACCCGCCAGTCCGCATGAATGCCTGCACGGACCCACTCTACTTGCCCCGCGAACCCGCCTAGGCCCACTGGAACAATTCGGGGGGAGGGGGGGAAGGTCCTAGAGACCTATGAAGAAAACCTGTGTCTGCTGGGTACAGGCCCCAAGAAGCTCATGTCCGCCCACCTTTACAATTCCCTGTATGAGAGCATCTAGTGATGTCCCCCCCCCCACCCCCCCTAGCATCCAGGATATCCTATGCACTTCCTAGTCCCGAATTTGATAGCACTGCCGAGCACAGACACCACGCCATGGCTGCTGGCGTTGCAAAGTGCTGATATGCAGATTGCGCAGTATGCCACGGGTGCAAACGATCCTGCTGCAGACACTCAGCACAGGGCTGAACTGGACTGGACTGGAATGGCCGCCTGCTGGTACGTGTGGACTGGCAGGAGAAATGGTGGCCTGCGCTGGCATAGGTTACATCGACACAGGTCCACCATGGGCCCGACCAATCTATTCAGGTGTCTCAGCTGACTGCTCACCACAATGCATGAATGGTCTGGCCAGACACGTGCCACCTGCTGGTCCGGAGGTGATCGCTGAACAAAACGCGTGCATTTGAAGCAGTGGGATAAGGTACAAAGCAGCACCGACGGAGTGACAGCCATCGGTGAGGAACTGGGTAAAGGGCATGAGAATGGCCAGTGATCGCTTGCCCTACACGACCGGAAGCCTGCACCCTGGGAAGAGAGCCTGGTGGACAGCACAATCGGCTTTCTTCGCCGATACCAAACAGCTGCTACATCTCTGAGCCTCTCAGGCATGGAATTCGGACTAAGGAATGAGGGCCAAGGGCTGAGTGCTCGCTCCCGTGGCAAAGACATATATGTGACTGTTCACATATATGTGACTGTTCGTATCCATAGCTGTTTCGTCAACCAATGCCAGAGGGAGAAGTGAATGTAAACTCAGCAGAAACTTTGTTGAATTCATGAATTCATGCTAACTGAGCCTTTCTGCACGTTTTGGTCGCCAATGCTAGGAACAAGAACACACATTGATGAGTGTGGAGTTTGCATTACCAGGATATCCTACGCACGGGCCACAGGCGTGCCTAGACTGTAGTTACTGTTGCAATATGCAAACTCTGCAAGAACCCTGTCGAATTCATGAATTTAAGCTGACTGAGCCTCACTGCATGATGCCGAATCCGTGCTGACTACCTTTCTGGATGCGACCCTTTGAACCTCGGGGAACTTGCTTAATACAATTCGTGGCATCTAAGCAGATAAGCTGGGTATTTCTGCGCATTATGGCAGTAGAACTACAAGGGGTTGCACGAAGCATGTTGCAACAACCTGTTCGAGTTTGAGAATTCAGAATTCAAGAAATCATGCATGGCTGCCGTGTGGGAAGCTAGAGGGTCCTGAGGGATGGAAGCCAGGAGGGGGACTTTCTCCTACTCACCGGCCACAGGCGTGCCCATAACTAGTGAATCCCTTTTCGGCTTCCATCCCCCTTGAGAACCATTGAAGAGACAATGGTCTCGGACGCGAAGAAACACACTTAGGACTCCAAGGAGAGGGCCTTAAAGACTTTCGAGACGGTGTTCCAGCGAGAACCCTAACTACTACCCATGCCAGGTGCCACAGGCGTGCCTAGATCCAACTCTAAGCCTAAAGGGTAGTCTCATGGCAGGACCACACCTCACTGCACAGGGAGTTGCGACACGTGAACGGCTCGCTAAACCTACGTTATGGGCTTATAGGACAGTTGAGGGTTGTAGAATCAAGCAGGGGAAATGCACACTGGAGGCAACTCCCAGGTTCCTGTGAGCTATAGAGCCATTTGAAACAGGCCAGGCTCTGGGAACAAACAGACCCATTTGAAGCCCTGGTAATTCTGCTCTAGCGAAGTGAATGCCATGGGCAAGTCTGCAGCGTGAATGTATCCCCGGGAAATGTATTTGCAGTGGTACTCTGTTGATGTGGGGTGAATATAGGTTGATAGGACCTCAACACTGCAAGACTGGGGATATGAAGCTCTGTCGCCCCCATTGTACATCGTTTCCAGGATAGTGAGCCTGTCCGGGTGCATGCATCTCATCCTTCAAATAATCCATCCCTTCTTTGTCAATCCCGCTTTGATGCTTTCTGGCCTACGTGCCACTCGGACAGGTGCGCAGGGGGGGACAGGGTTCTGACCTTCGAACTTTGGGAGTCCGGGGATGGAGGCTTCGGGGTTGGTTCATTGTTGTCCTGGGGTTGTACGTGCTTTGAGGTTTTGTTGGTGTGGTTTGGGCTGTTAGTGGGTACGGTAAACTCCGAAGGCCATCTTGGGGCTCCAGCAACGGACTAGCAAACTTTTCAACCTGAATTTTGGCGGTAACTAGGCCTGACCTCTTCCCCGTATACGCTTGCGAAACGGGTGGGAAAAAAAGCAAAAAACAAAAAAACTCCAAAAAAAACAAAAAAGTTCCTAATTTAATTCTCCGGCCATAATCCTGCCCCCTCCATGTTTTGGAAGGGTGAGGCGTGCCCGAAGCCAACTAGAACGGTCCAAGCCGAAATGCAGAAGTTGCCACTTACACATCTTACACTAGAATTGCAGTCAAACCTGCACCTGGAAACAAACAACTAGGACCAGCATCTGTTTGCTCCAGACGGTCATGCGCGGGAGTCGTTGGTCACTCGCTTGGCCTGCCAGAAGAGGCACCATGTTCCGCCATGCCTGATCGGCGCCATGGCAGAAGATGCAGCTTGAATTGCAAGACCTTGTATAGTAGGCTGTTTAACGATGCATGGAAAACGGCTGCCCCGACAGAGGAAGCTGCTGTGCACGCGTGTTTGTACCGAGTGCTTCGTGACACGCAGCGATGCTGCATCACAGAGATTATGCTTCAGGCCACACACCCAGGGAGTACAGGAGGGCAGATATGCAAACAACACAAACAACACAAGTTAACTGAAAGAGTGAGTCTTCTGAGGTGCCTCTTTTGGCTTCGCTGCTGTGTCAGGGCAGCTTCCTCCTAGTGAGATGTCTGCTGGTTGCGGGGCCGCCTGCCTACAACTTGAAGATCAAGCAACATCAAGCAAGCTAGTGAAATCATCGTGTCATGATGTGTCATGTATTCTTCTAAGAGCTTATCAGATTGCGTTTCGTGATGTGTCCTGTGGGATGTGGTCAGTAGCGGTTGGGGTACCCCAGCGTTGGGCAGAGGGGCTTTTTGAGGCTGGCTTTGATGCTGTCAGCACATGATTACGGGTCTCTGAACTGCCTAATCTTAGCCCCTGCGTAGCTCGATATTACATCGCGGTCTTGACCAAAACTTGTGGTGGAACTCCAAACTTGTTTTGCAGAGGATTGAACCAACGTCTGGAACTGTATACGGCTGGCTGATGCGTCTGCTATCCTTTAGGTTACGTTTAAAGCTTTCCGTGCCAAACATGGGGTTTGGCTTTCATAATTCTCTCTTTTCTCGCTGTTGGCCAGTCACTGGTTTGTTTCTATTGATTGTTTCTCCAGGTTCTCTGTTACGTGCGCACCATGAATCATTGAATCGTGTCTAATGTAATGAAGTCAATCTTGGCATACTTCGAAGGCAAGCTACGCGCACTACTTTGAAAATGTTTCCAGCAGATCGACGTATGCAGAGGCTGATTCCAGCCTGTGCGCAAGAGTCACTGGGCGAGGCCGCCGCTTATCGCACAGCTGGGCTTAGATTTGTGTAGTCAGATCGGCATGGATCCTCGGTTTTACCCTACAAAGCTTGTGGTTGAGTATGGCATCGTACAAACTTCAAAGTGAATTGAATTTGCTTGTTGGCTTTAGGGCGTTGAATTGGGTCGCAGCCTCAAGGCAGAGTGACACTGCGCTGGTTTTCAGCATGGTTCAGTTCAGGAGACGGCTCTTGTGTACGTGGGGCTGAGGGCTTTCAGACGTGTCGGGGCCATGCATGGTGGAAAGGGCAAAGCAGTACAGTGGCTAGTTGGGGGCATCCTTGTGAACTCCTGAGCCCCGTCGAGCAAGCGACGGTAGCGACGGATGTGGGCATCATGTTCCGAAACCTGCTTGACACATTGGTATGCAGCCTCCACTCCTGCACAGAATGTGCAAAGGTAGAGATGACAAATTTGTGTCACCCTTGATTTGCACAAGTGCGCGAAGGCATCAGAACCCGCATCCACCAAGTCACCTAGTCGAAGCCCCAAAACCTGACATGAAAAACCCCAAAACGGAGACCAAATCGCACCAAATCGGCAGGACATCTTCGTGACACAGCGATGGGGCTCCCCGCGCGAGAAGCAGCTAACCCAAGCCGCAGCCTGAGCTCCGATGCCTTTTGGGTAAAGGGGGGTGCTGTCAGCCTACGCTGATGGCTCCTAATGACGCGCATGAAAGTAGCCGCTGTCTTGAGCAACAACATGCAGATAAAGTTCTTGCAAAGTAAACAAAGTTGCCTGAATCTGTGGGGGCATGGGTGGGCCTGCGTGGCAATAGATGCAATAGCTTGTAGGCTATAAAGCAATGACTCAATGACCCAGCGTACATATTTCAGCATCGTACTGTACGAACCCTACGTCCCACTGGTCCCGCGCGTCTTGTTCAACACCATTGAAGTCCGCACTACACATCGACCACATTTAGGAGCTGCGCCTGTGGAGCTCGAGAGCCATGGAGGCCTGCATAATGCATCATTCGGCGTGTTTCATTGTATGGAATTTTGGTATACTTTTGAAGTCGCAGTGTCTGGCACAAGGGACGGCGCCGACTGCATCATGCATGTTTTTGGCTGCGGGCGCCTATAATGGGCCTAGACCCGGGAATGGTAGGCACCGCCAGACAAACAAGCCTGCTCGCCCTAGACCGATTCTTCGTGATCACGGTGCAGAATGACACGTTGTCCTGTGCCCAATGCAGGTTTTTTAAGCTGCAAATCCTGAGCATTCCTTGTCAACTAACCTCTAGGAGAGCCATCGAGTGGTGGCAGCAATGACAACCACACCGAACCTCGAAATGCAATTGACTGCAAAGGGCATCGGTGGCGTCTTTTGCGTTGAGAGTCTCGGGTTTATTCACCGTGACGGGAGCCAAGATGCCGACTCGACAGCTTCTCAGTGAACACATCGCTGGTTGCCCACCATGTGATGCGGCGCAAGTTGCTTCTGTGGTGATTCGATCCTGTGGTTCTTAAGGACCCGGATTCAGTTGATCGAGGGAGCTGTCGACAGCCTGCTGAATCAGAGCAGGACCATCCGGCTGCCGGGTTGCTTTCGTGTTTCGTGGCCCGAGTCCCAATCGTAAGCAATGCCGCCATCCTAGCTGTACGGCACCTCGGAATAGTGCGAAATGGGCTTATGGAGATGATGTTTCTTTTTGTGCGCTTCTCCTGGCTTGCGCAGGCATGCTACGGCTTGTCTCAAAGTCCCAAACTCCCAAAGCGGCCCCAAGGCATCCACGTGTCCTGGACAATGATTGAGTGCGCTTTCCCTTTTCGCAGAAGCAACCGGCGGGAGGAAATGTCTGAAAACACGAGACAAGCGTCCGCGGAAGCAAAGGGCCCATGCGATGCCATGCTATAGGGGGCCACTGGCGGAAGGAGCCCAGCTTGCGAGCGGAGTTTTTGCCGTCTGGCTCCGCAGACTGTGGGGGCAGTTGAAATGGTGAACGTGACATCCTGGCTGAAAGCAGTGGTAGCTTTAACATAGGTCCTTGGTTTCAGGCGAATTTGCTCCATCTTCTCAGGTTGAGGGATTGTATCTGGATGGCCCAGGGTGTTCTTACCTTTTGGGGGAGGGGATGGGTGTTTTATGGTGTATTACCAATCTGTGGTTCACAGTGCTTTTGTTCAACGTGGAGCTCAAAGCTTGTTGAATCGGCCGTAGCTCCACCAACCACTGCCAAAAGCCGGTGCCTGCGGGAGGCCTTTGGACGCAGTGTACCTTTTTGTTCCACACACCTTCTTGCGGGATGGCAGCAGGCGCCGCGGCGATGAAAAGTCTGAAAGTCTCTTTCAAGTTGACGTGGCCGCCAATTAAACTAATCTTGCATAATGCAGTTGTTGAAGGCTCCGAAGACTGAACCCCGGGCCCCAGGCCAGCGGAGCAGTACCCCGGAAAGCCATCTCAGCCATAGCCGTACTATGCCATGCTAGCACTGTAGCGGCCATGAGCATGTTCAAGCTCTGGCAGCGTCTTTTTGCGTTCTGGAGGTACGTGCTTCCTTCCTGGCTGGAGCGCAAGGCCGCCATGTAGCTGAGGGACCTACCGTATATAGTTGTTTATGTCAAGACAAGCGATCCAAACGACTTCAGACGAGGAAATATGAGAAAATGAGAAGCCTTCCTAGGTTGCTTCCCGGTTCCATGTGAGGTGGGTGTCCGAAACTTCCACCTCCGAAGATGCGAAGACTCAGGGCCCGCCACACACATGCAGGAGACGCTGCCAGGGCAGTTGCGTCACGAGCCTTCTTTCAAAAAGCTTCGTGAAGGCGAAGCGGCCCCAAAGCAACGCCTTGACATTCGGAACCCGGATGCAGACCGAACATTGCGATCTGAGCAGCTTTCATCCCCAGGAACCCTTGTCTACGCTCATATGCTCCTAATCTAATCCATCTTATCCCTCGAACCTCGCCTGTTGGCCTGTGGCCATCTCATCACTTTGTGCAGGAGGTGCTCAAGCTGGAGCTGGATCCCCACACATACATCCTTCAAGCACCTCGGGTCTCTCTTTGTGGGTTTGGTTGGTCTGAAGGTACGTGTTGCGTGAGGGTTGGCAAGATGATGGCACTTGCAAAGCAACTCGTTGCTTAAGTTTGACGGACGAAGCTGCGGGCAGAGTTCAGGGGTCGAATTCCCCTGTTGAGGTAGATGATGACCAGGAGTACGGACGTGAGTTGGTGCAGCACTTGCTTAGGGCCACTGGCCCTCTTCCTGGGCGAGCTCTTGGCGCGGCCACGCAGCATGCCTACAGCTACCTGAAGAGTGCCATCACGGAGGGCGTCCACGGCGTTCTTTTTCAGAGGAAGTTTTTCGACAGTAGCGTTTTTGACTACACTGGCTTCTCGGAATCTTGCAAGCTGCACGACGACCTTTGGCTCTCGGCACACCTGGCACGCAAGGCGTTGCGGCGGGAGTCTTTGACTTCCCGCTTTGGTAGCAAGCCGCTGGGCTTCGGCTTTCGTGCCGATGCGCTCTTCCAGGGCGGCGCAGGGACGGACAACCAATGGAACTTTTTCGCCTGCATGTCCTCGCTGCTGGAGGCGCAGCCCAACCTGTGGGAACCGGAGGACGAAGCATGATGCGGCCCACGCGCACAGATACACGTCACAAGGTAATGGTAATTAGAGGCTATCGAGTCTGGCCCTTAAGGCTTGAGAGCTACCGACTTCTGAAGGACCGCCTGGCTGTGGTGGTGCCTCTTGCTGGTTTGCGTGCTCGGGAGGCCTCGAAGGCACGATGCCTTCAACCCGTTCAGTTCCTGAGTTTACAGAATGCCAGTATGGACCATGAGATTTCAGGGCTTTTCGTTTCTGCGTGGAGCCGCCGCAACAGGGCCTCAGGCTACAGCTGCAGGCTCATGTATGAAACAAGTCAGCAAAGTAACGCGCCGTTCTCATACTCCTTGACCATCCTTGACCCCTCGGCCCGCTCTGCACGAGGTGCTCTGGCGGCTGCTCCAAAGGCTGCCGCGCAAGCCCGGAATTGGCCCCCATGCGTTGTACCTGCGGCCACGATGGATTCAGAAATTCACTTCTTACGAACCTCAGAACAAGGGGTCCTAGAATGTTTGGGAACCTCTCCATATTTTGCGGCGCAATAATTGGCTGTTGGGTTGGCCCCTGGATCAAGGTTTGGCAACATCGCAGATGCTCATGCTCTCCTCCACAACAGGCTGCATGCTTTTGTGGACTCGGGACTTCGGGGTGCCATAAATGGTTGAAGGCCGGAGCCCACTGCCTCGGCAGTCGGTTCGGCCCAACGCGGCTCGCGCAGTGCTTCAGGAGGTTTACAGTGGTCCCAGGAAGGTCCCAGGGAGTTGCCCAGGTTTAGGGGGTTGTCCAAGGGGAGTCCAGACTGCGAGGCGAATTTCAGCATTAGTCAAAAAAAGTTCTGAAACTGTCGTTTACAAAGCACAGTATCTTTGGCAAATGAGTTTAACCATGAGCTGCAGGGGAAAGCACGGGCGTGAGGGATGGGTGCAACCATGTGCAGCCACTCCAAGACCCCAATGCCCCGTGAGCCTTAGCAAGCCGACGGTATGCAGCCCCTTCTGCAGACTTAGATCAGCCTCTCCGGCAGTTCAGGAGCCTGTGGATGCAGATGTGCGGCTCCTCAACCCTCAGCCTGTGTGTGTGTGTGTCAACCTGTCAACCTGAGTAACACCGAACCCTCCAGGGCACTACATCCCAGCTCGTGTGCAAGGCGAGGGCAGACGCCGGAGATGACAGTGCGTGGTGGCTACGCCACCAGCTATGGGCCCTGGGCTCACACTCTGGACTTGGCAGCTTTGACGCACCTTCAAAGAGTATCTGTGCACTTCAATTCCTGTGTCTTTCCTGGGCGTTAGTGCCGTTTTGGGTGCAGACATCGACTGCAGGAGGTGTTCGGAACTCCCCGATTGTACAGTGGGTCTAAAGTTTGTAGCGCAAAGCAGGTTGCATTCCCCAGTTGATGGCCCATTCGATAGTCTAAATGACATGCAGAAACATCCCAGCCAGGCTGTGGCCTGGCCAGCTCAACAGGTGACACGAAACCCCAATGACTTCTCTCACAAAGCTCCCAGGTGTTTCAGGCTTGCGGAGGGGAGGTGCCCTGCTCTTGGGCCTTCGCCTTGCACACTGCGCTGCGCTTCGAGGAGGATCCCGCAACCGCGATCGTGCGCGGGCCCCAGGGTCCATGAGACGTCCTAAGGTATCAATTAGTTAGCTTAGTTAGCTTTCACTAGCACGCTGCGGTCGGGTCGGGTTGCCCTATAGGCTTACCCACAGCAGCCGGATGTCATTTTTCAGAAGTCGGGGAGCGTTGATGTGTGATTCTTGAAGTGCTGTGGGCCGGCTCAACACGAGCTTCTGGAGCTTCGGATTGCCCTCCATTCTGAACACGTGGGCACCATCGTCGATAGGGCAGCTTCGTTTTGCGAGGTCCGCTCGCTGCATTCCATGTGTCGGCAGCTTCATCCTTCAAGCTGATGTTGACCCAGATCGTTCTTACGTGTTCTTGCGCCTTAGCAAGACTGCTGTGTCCGGACTTCCGGCTCTATGGGAATGTGCTCGTTGGGACGTTCGTGGCAGCCTCGAGTTCAGATGTCGTCTACATGGAGCTTTCGATCGTGTTCGGGTTTGCGAGCGAGCTTTTTGTTACCTGCTTTGCAGATGTCGGGCCTTCGATGCCCGAACGTCCGAGCAAGATGCCATTGTCCAGGCTCTGAAAGGCCATACATGAAAGGGAAATGTCCGCCCGAAGACCTAAAGCACTCTACAGCACCCAACAGGCACATCACCTAGACTCCGAACCCCTAGCCATGAAACCCCAAAGTCCCAAGTTTCGCCCTCAGAGATCTCTGAGGCTGGCAGACGGCAAGATCTCGGAGGCCCCGCCAAACCCTGCACTGGCAAGACATATGGCATACGGCCTTAATATGTTTTTCATCACGCTAAGAACGCGCAAGCCCTCCCAAGCCCAGCGACTTCACAGATTGCACTAAAGTGCGCGCTTCACGCGTCTGTCCTGACGTAGGTTTCTTACAGTGCGCGATGTGAGAGTCCCCTCGGACCGAGCACTGAAGATCTCTGAAGGCCTCTTACTTGTAGTAACCTCCCGTAAACAACACACCTTGCCGCCCAACTCTCCATGCCCTCCCCAGTTTGAGCCTTAAAGAGGCCACACTGCGCCAACACCGTCGCTGCTTGGGGCCCACGGAGCGAGCCGGCTCCAAGGAGCGACACACTTACCATTTTTGAACTTCAACTGCACTATAAGTATGAAAACTTACACGGACATTCATACATGTATATATATATATATGCCTCTTCGAGTTTTTTTGTTTGGTGTGTGTGTGTGTGTACGGTGGCTTTCGGGGGTGCGGGTGGAGAGTGTGAGGTCCTTCTGGCACATGTCCTGCATATGACTCCAACAAGCTCTGAAGAACCCTTGAAAGCCCAGGAGCCCCAACTTCACCTTATGTGTTGAATGCTCATGCTGCGTTACACCGTCCGAAGTGGAGGACTTGGTCGTGACCGATTTGATGTACGCCACACTTGGATATGCCAATCTGTGATTTTGGGTACTTTGATCCTTTGTTTTGTAGTTCCTAATCGCCAAAGACTTCTGAATCCAAAACCGACGCGCTCTCCTGCAGGTGTGCCACGCAGCAGATGGAAGCACCTCCTCCGCAAACGGTGGCCATCGGAGTGGGCTCTGGCCCAGAAGCCCAAAACCGCAGCAAGTTGTCTCTGTCAGGAAAATTACGACACAATTTGAGGGTTCGATTCGCGCCATCCATCCTGTAGGTGTAGAGCTGTTGTCAGTATACTATAGTATACTGCCCGAAGTGTGATCTCTGCTCCCCAAGATTCCCGTTGACAGCAGTGCCAAGGTATGTCTTTCCGGCGTATCGCAGCCTACGGCCAGGACCCTGCCCGGATCGCAGCCTTCATGCCCCACTTCAGCCCCTGGGCAGAATCGCAATGGCCCCCAACTGTGTGGAATCAGGGGTAGGCGTCTTTGAATTCTTCCACCCGATGGAGATGCGAAACTCAGTGTGCTCGGTTTTCTGCAGGGTTTCAGATCATGCTTACGGATTTATCGTATGGACAAGAGCTGTGGAGGCAATGACCAGCGCGCAGCACAGCCTCCTGCCACGGAAACGGCTGCCAGCGACTACGGGGCAGCTGTTGGGCAGCGCTTACCGGGGTGTAGCGCAACTTTTGGGTATGGGATGGGCGGAAAATTGCGACAGCCTGAGTCCGTGCCAGCAAATACTCGTACTCGGTACGTACAGCACTTTCAACTTTTCTGCGCAACTTCGTCATCGCACCTTCCATCTCTACTTTGGGCCTTTGTCTTTGGCGTTTGACGCCATCACTTGTTTTTGTTGTGTGTTTTCCTTTTTTCGGGCGCGGGGCGGAAGGGGGGGTGAGGTTGCTTTCGGACTCCCGCTGCTGATTCACGCAGTTTCTGCGCGTTCTCCCCTATTCCATTGTCCGTGGCCATTTGGCTCATGCAATTGGTTGGACCACTTCGTCTTCTGTTTTGTCTAGTGAGGTTACTTGGTTACTTGCTTGCGAAGCTAATCGTATTATCACGACTCGCCTTTGTTTGCTAGCCTGACGATCTGCTTGACGGTTTGGCCTGCCCCATCCTGTCCCTGTCATGAAGTGGCAGCAGCACCCGAACTTTGAGTTGTCCGTCGACGACACGATATGCACATCGAAGGTGGAAATGGCCCCAGGTACCTTTGACTTGAGCAAGGTCTTAATCCTCGGGGATGTGGCGTTCCATGAATGTCGAGAAGAAGAAGTAGCCATCACGCTTGTGTCTAGGTGCAACGGCAAAGGCCATCTGCCGAATTATTTTCGTGTTGGCATTGCACCGGCTGGGCACACCGGGAGCTGGAACGAATGCATCTGGTACGGCGGCAACGGGTTCATGTATGTGCAGCAAAAACAACACTTGGTTGGGCTGAAAAAAGCCATGTATCTCGGAGATCAGGTCATCGTCCATTGGGAGCCGCAGGCGCGCCAAGTCAAATTTTCTGTGAACGCTTCTAGCATTGCCGAACCTTTGCCAGTCGGTCGTGGGAGTTATTGTCTTGTTGCAGCCGCCTATAAGGGCACCATGCTGAAGTTAAGCGGTGGGAGAAAACGAAGTCGCGATGTAGGCGACACAGAGCACTTTGCGGCCAAGCGAGCCAAGGAGCAATTGGAAAGTGGCTTGTTTAGCGACGCAGTTGTGCATTGTGGTGAGCGCAGCTGGTCAGTGCACAGATCTTTCTTGGCATCGGCATCTACAGTCCTCCGTCGCATGCTCGAAACTCCGATGGTCGAAGGCAGCACGTCAACAATCAAGATTACCCAGTGCCAGCCCGAGACTGTCCATGAGCTCTTAAATTATATTTACACAGGTAGTGCACCTGTGTTGCGCGCCACGGGGGTGGATTCAGATCGAGGCCAATCTATCGTAAGATTGTTGGAGCAGGCTCAGGCTTACGAGATTGAGAGTTTGTCGGAGGCGTGCTGGGATATTCTCTTTGACACAAGCGCTTTGATCAGCGCTTCTATCGTTGTACCTCTCGCTCGTTTGGCCCGCAACGATCCAAGGCACGAGCATCGTATCACTGATTTGGTATGGGCTGTGAACGGCAATGCAGAGCTTATTGAAGCCTTGATCCGAAGTGGGTGAGCAGGAGGAGGTACCTTTGTTGAAGACCTTTCCAGTACTGCAACGCATCCAAAATTCACAAAGCAGTGCTCGGCAAGCCATTGAAAAATCCGCTGCCTCCTGTTGCAGAGACGGGAAGTATTCCTGTTTACGGTTCCGGGTCAGCTTCGCGGCTTTTTAACCTTCGGCCCTCAACGTTGCCCCGAATGTGCCGTGCAATGCAGTGTTCCTGCACTTGGTGGCTTTGGGCTTGCTCGCATGTCTCGTATCTCTTTTCTATCTCAGCCCTGCACTGCCGAGGAGTACTGGGCTGCTTTCAAGCTCCTACTGCAGAAAGACCCTGGTATTGCGGCAACCGTGCAGGGGTGGCTCTCTGAACCCCGGCTGCTCCGATCTTTACAGTGAGTCCTTTGCGACTTTCTAAGCGTTGTATTTCATGTGCGCTCATATGCCACATGCGCTCAACACTTCAAAGCCTTCGACCCATGTCACCGACCACTTGAAATTGCTCATGCAGGGGCAGGGGAGCTTGAGAGAATCGAAGCATCTCGACATTGTGTGGCTGGCAGAGTGAAGCTCCGAAGACGACAGCTCGCACTCGGGAGATGCTTGGGGATCTGGGGACGCCGGCAGGCTCCTTGTTGGCTTGTGCACGATGGGGGACGTGAAGAATCCACGCGCCGTTTAAGCAGACACGACGCACTCGTGGAGTGACGTGTGCAATCGTGACTCTACTAGCTGCAACCCGAGGAGAAGCGACGCATTGTCGGCGTGCTGATGGCTTCTGCCCGGTGGCGACAGCGCTCCTCTCGGACACTGTGGCCTGCAACTGCATAGCCTGAAGAAAATTTTGATTTCAACACCAGGCAGAACAACATTGGCAGTGCTGGTAATGGTTAGGCCTCTGTGTTCCGTGGTAGAGAGGCCCTGCGTCGTCAGCCGAGGATTTTGAGCAGTTCAAGCAGGACCCCCCCCCCCCCCACATCCCATGTTGAAATGCAGGTTTTCAAGGCCGCCCCTGCAGCAGTGTTTGTCGGAGTTTTTGTGGGCTCGTTGTCTGGCCAAGGTTCTGTTTTAGGAGCCTTCATGCCTGCATTGAAGGTAACATATCTTAACATATTGGGGTGTGGAACCGCGCAAATCTAGTTCACCCTGAAGCCCTGAATGGCCAATTCGGCAAAGCAAAATCCGGGGTTGACAGGAGCCTGTTGCTTCAGCGGCCCCGCATAACAAGGCACGAGGGTGTATAGGGAGGGGTTCGAGAGAGAGCGGGCGCGCCCAGAGCTCGGGGGAGGGGGAGAGATGCCGGTTCATCCCTGCGAGAAGGAGAAAAGAAACAAGAGAGTGGACAGCCCGCTTCGCAAAAGGCTCTGGGTCTTCGTGCGGCCCAAGGCTGCTGGCCGAGGCTGCAGCGTCCCCGCTTACTTGGCCCGGCGACGCTTTGCCTGCAACACGAGAGGAAAACAGCTCGGCACGCTTTGTTTCATCCTTTGTTCTTCGAAGTTGTTCGAGCACACCCTTGCTCGCTATGTATGTCTCAGTGTCTGTCTATCTGTGTGTGTGTCTACGCACCGTCAACTGAAACTCTGGTGTGCTTGCCTGCACTAATTACTCGCGAACCTGCATAAAGTGTGGCGACTGTCGTGCCTCCAGGACAGCGCGTCCACCTGGTTTGTAGCCAAGAGCCTTGGAAGCCAATTCGACATTGGTAGAGTTTATTCGGTTGCCGTAGTTAGTAGTAGGAGCTGGCGGTGCCATTGGTCCTGATCAGCGTCGTGGTGGAATGTAGGGTGGTGGTGGTGGTGGTGGCCATACAGATGCAAGGAGGCCTCGTGGATGGGAGTGCGGGGACTATCATGCCCAAACCTGATAAGTTTGCTCGGTGTCTCAGAGGCGCATGGTTCTTGCTACAGAGCCGTCGAGATGATTTGAAGCGGGTTCAAATGATTGCGCGGGGATTGGTAAACCTCTTTAGCTGCCGGCGTTGCCTCATGAGCTGTTAAATTATGGACGTTCATTGCTTCGTTCGATGGTCAACTCAGAGTGTGGAAACCTATATTTTAAGGGGCTGCGCCCATGGGCGGGCGGCGCACGCAGAAGCCCGGGGCGAGCAGTTTCTAAGCATGTTGAGGCCCCTAAACTCCCTTAAAATCTCTAAGCGTTAAGTTTCTAACTAAACTCCCTTCAAATCTCTAAGCGTTTGAGGCTCCTAGACTCCCTTAACGTTTCTAAGCACTTTATAAGGCCCCTAAACTCCCTTTTTCCTAGCCCCGGGCTTAGACACGTCGCTTATGCCCGCCCTTTGGGGGGCATCATGCTCCTGATGCGCCCCGGGGTCCCGCCCCGGGAGCCGCTGATGCTCCTGATGCGCGCCTGGGGGTCCCGGGCTGGACCCGCTGATGCTCATGATGCGCGCCCTCTGGGGGCCTCCGTGGCGACGCAAAAAACCACGGAAAAAAAACCGTTCACCGGCGGCACGCGGGGGTCGGCGGCACTGGCGTCCGGCCTAATTCTGCTTCGCAGAAGGCCAGAGGCCAGCAAGGCTATTCCCGGGACGACCCGGGCTAAAAGGTCCGCATTTGCTCGGTCCTTTGGGGACCTCGCGCTGCCCGATTTAAGGGGCTGCGCCCATGGGCGGGCAGCGCACGCAGAAGCCCGGGGCGAGCAGTTTCTAAGCATGTTGAGGCCCCTAAACTCCCTTAAAATCTCTAAGCGTTAAGTTTCTAAGCATCTTCAGGCCCCTAAACTCCCTTCAAATCTCTAAGCGTTTGAGGCTCCTAGACTCCCTTAACGTTTCTAAGCACTTTATAAGGCCCCTAAACTCCCTTTTCCCTAGCCCCGGGCTTAGACACGTCGCTTATGCCCGCCCTTTGGGGGGCATCATGCTCCTGATGCGCCCCCGGGGTCCCGCCCCGGGAGCCGCTGATGCTCCTGATGCGCGCCTGGGGGTCCCGGGCTGGACCCGCTGATGCTCATGATGCGCGCCCTCTGGGGGCCTCCGTGGCGACGCAAAAAACCACGAAAAAAAAACCGTTCACCGGCGGCACGCGGGGGTCGGCGGCACTGGCGTCCGGCCTAATTCTGCTTCGCAGAAGGCCAGAGGCCAGCAAGGCTATTCCCGGGACGACCCGGGCTAAAAGGTCCGCATTTGCTCGGTCCTTTGGGGACCTCGCGCTGCCCGATTTAATGGCTACCGCCAGTGCCGCCGACCCCCAACAGGGGAAGCACAGCCGGGCGGACGGTGCGGGGTGTAGGGTCCAGGGCTAGGGGGCAGGGTGGAGGGGGGTCTGCAGGGTTCCGTCGGCAGGATGTCACGTGAACACGAGGCCGTCCGGGCTTGCGCTTTGGACGGCTTCGGGTGTCAGGGGTGCTTGTGTATTCCCTGCGCCTGTTCCTCGTGGAATCTTGCTGATGGAAGCCCCCGCAGGGGTCGCGTATCGGCGTATGTCGGGGGGGGGGGGGGGGGGGGGATCGGCGTATTGGTGTATTTCGAGGGGAAGGCAGGGGGGGGGAGGAGAACGGCTTATCGGCGCATGGGCATATTTCCCAGAGGCTTTGGGGGGCGGGGGGGGGCGAACGGCGTACAATTTCCGGGGGAGGAGGGGGAAGCGGCGTATCGGCTTAGCGGCGTGCTTTCCGGGAGGGGGGGGTTAGCGTATCTATTGGAGGGAGGGGGGGGGGGGGGAGGGGTAACGCGTATCGGTGTACTTGGCTGGGAAGGGGGGGGGGGGGGGGGGGTTCCGGCACGCAAGATGCAATATGTAACATATGTATATAAATATGCAATATGTAATATATGTTTATATAGATATATATATATATACTATAACCTACAAAATCTATATACGACATACGATATACTGTATAGTAGATACTGCATACTAGATGCTATGTGTTATATGTGATATATAGATATATATTGTATTATATGATATATCATATTGCATATTGTAAACTATATCTTTTACATATGATACGCGCCAAAGGGTCGGTTTGCCCACGCCCAAGCCGTCCAACATAGGGTTTAAGGTTTAGGGTTTAGGGTTTGGGAAGTAGGGTTTAGGGTTTAGGGTTTAGGGTTTTTGCATGGGATCCGAAACCACCCCTGGGAGCTCCGCAGCCGTAGCTGGGGCTTCGTCCTCGCGCGGGCTCGGGCCCGAGGTGCCTGGGACGAATCGCGTGTTTCAGTTAGGGTTGAGGGTTTGGGGCCCACGGTTAAAAAGGGTTTCGGGTTCAAACTTAAACGGGGGGAGTCCAAAACTTAGTAGGACTGTTGGGTTCGAGGTCTAGGGCGTTTTGGCTGGGGAGGAGGGAGTGTTAGGTTGAGTTTGGGGACGCGCCTCGCGCTTGACGCAGGCTCAACCCGAGGAACAGGTTTCACGGGCCAGGATCAGATCTTTGGGTATAGGGTCCAGGTTTGAGAGGGGGTGCGGTAGGGCTGACGGTCTAGTTTAGGTTGAACCCTGCCCAAGATTGGATTCCGGGTTTGGACCCTAAAGCCCGAAACCCTGAAGCTTGGTAGCGTGGGGCATCTGCTTCTCCATCTTGAGTGCGTTTAGTGAGGTAGCCCCCCCCCCCAACAGAACTCTTGAGTTACGGGTTATGACCTTAAGGCCTGGGGCCCACAACCCTCACGTTGAACCTTAAGCTTTTCTGCTGCCCGAAGTTTTGTAGAAGCATGAAATCAGGGGTTTAGGTTTCAGGGTTTGCTATGCACCCTTGTTTCACTTGATCCTTCAGACCCTGGAGTCCCCAAACAGGGTTTAGGGCTTAGGGCTTAGGGTCATGCCTAGGGCGAGCAGGGAATAGAGAAGTACTACTCCCGGACCTTCTACTACTGCTCGTTGGCCTTGCTGTGACCTTTTTGCTCTCTGGCCTGATGGTGTAGGGTTTAAAGTGTGTGGTTTAGGTGGTTTAGGTTTCAGGGTTTAGGGGGCGAAGATGCCCGCAAAACATTGTGCGTATCCATACTTTGCAAAGCAAATGGATGCCAACACAGTAAAGGGACCTTCGCTATCATG